GCTCACGTTTGAACAATGCAGCTGCCACTCCTAGGCATATCCAATGTTTCTTGCTTCAGTCGCTAGATAGCGCCAACCTAAACAGCATTGTCCAAAATCCTAGCCCCCAGCGATAAGTAAAATGTGAAACAATAATCTCAAGCGCAGGCTCTTGTGAAAAGAGGGGCTGCACATAAAACAAGAATTTGCTCTTTACAGCACTCTTGGCATTGTTGTTGTTCTTGAAGCTTCGTGACTATGCCTTTCCGACGTTCTTGCACTACGATGAGTGCGAAGGTTTCTACAAAAAAACGGAGTCTCGCAAAAAGCACAGCCTCCCCCCTCCCCCCTTTACCGTGTCATTGCGTCAGCATAAACAAGCATGGTGGCGCCCATGGAACAGAACGGATACTGGTGTCCTTGTGTTTTGTCTGGCCTTCACGCGTTGGTAATGCAGTGCTACCTCAAAAAGCGGGGGGAGTTGTGTGATGTGATGAAGTTTTTAAAGTTGGTGGGCCAAAACTATGACGACAGTAGAACAGTGAGCCACCACGCCTGTATTCCTGTAAATGAAGCCTGCTCCGTTTTCAAAGATGACAATGCAGCTTTACCCGTTTTATCTTCAGCGCCTCGCTAATCTTTGCGGGAGCGTCCGTGCGCCGAGCTCACCCTGCTTTGTCATTAGGGGGGGGGGGGGGGGGCAATTCATGCCTTTGGACCTCCCCCCCCCCCCCCCCCCCCGAAATAAAATCCTGGCTACGCCACTGCTCTACAATGTCACAAATTCGGATCAAGTTTGCAGGTAATATACTGAAATACGTTCAGCCATGCTCAGCATGTGAAATGGATTTGGCAAGTTAAAATGAGTAAATTGTAATTAAAGTACAAATTCATTCATGATCCTGCTTGGGTTAGATCCCTTTGAATTGTTGCTCAATAGCTGTTTACACTTGCATTGTGTAATACATTCGTAAACATAGCCTCATTGCGGTTGTTTGAGTTTGTGTTTCTGTCAGCTTAAACTCAAAAGTCTGCTGCACTTGCTGCATGACTTGAATTGATGTCAACATTTTCAATTGCGCCTTATCAATCCGTGTTACTGTCGCAAGCACTATTGAGCCTTGGCAAGATTCGGTCTGAATTCGTGATTCACAATGTCCATATGGGCTGCAGGATTCTGTTCAACGTCCCCCTACAAAAGCAAAAGCACATGTAAAAACATGACACGGGGAACGAGAATTTAAAAATGACACTGCGCAAGATTTTGCCAACATCAACATTAAAGGGGGATGACACCGCAAAGAAGGCAACGGTTAGAACATCTAAAATATGAAGAATTGTTTATATAACTAACATGGGTCAAAAACATGCGTGAGTAGGTGTTCAGCGCAGTGTGTGTCCCGAAGTCGACGGCCAGTGAAGTCGTTTAAATCTTAGGCGCTGTTTAAATACGCCCTCCTCCGACGTTCCTGGTTGCCAGATGAAGAGAGCGGTTTGCTTCAGAGGAAGTGGAAGAATCCTGTTGGCGTGTGGCCATTCTATCATCACTTAAGACCTATACGTTTCCATCGTGCGTCAGCAGAAGAAGCAGAGCCTCGAGGAAGGAATCCATCGACGATCCAGTTGGTCCAAGAGTCGAAGTGGCCTGGGTCACAAATATACGTGAGCACATGTTCGGCGCGGTGTGTGAGCTTGCAGATCTTAGTTGCAGTAAATGTGCCACTGGCAGAGTAGCTCTTTGGAAAGTTCCTATTTGCTATGCTGGGATCTCACCACATACCTCGGTAAAACTCCCTTACCTCGCTCACCCCCACCGATGAGGCGTGGTGTGAGAATGAGTTCGCAAGTCTCAAAAACTTCTGAGTTTTAAGCTCAGTGAAGTCGGTGAGGTGAGTTCATGAGTTCGGTGAGGGGCATGAGTTTGTGAGGTCACAGAGTATAGTAGTTTGGCAGAGCATGAGGTCCCAAAAGGGGCCACGGAAGGACATGGAAAAGGGCGGGTCATGTGACTTCGGACATTTTCGGAGAAGTTGAGTTGACGTTCGCTTCGCAATGGCGCTCTTAGATTGTAAGGATGGTTCTCTACAATTAATGGGAAAGAAGGAAAAGGCGCCGATTGGTTCATCTGCGCCCTTCGGCTCCGGCTCAGTTCGCGGCGGCTTGGCGTGTACTCTTGCGGCTCCAGGCTGACAGGAGAGGGAGCAAAGTTCTCCCGCTCGCCTCGTACTCTCCCGCGTAGGCAGCGCGACACCGATATACGTGCGCCGTTTTGATGTTTCGTGAAGAGGAAAGATGGACGCTATGACGGTACGCCCGAGGGCAGAAGTAGCAATTTCGAGCCCGCTCGTCTTAGGCATGGTCGCTGAGCCTGAAGCCAACATTGAAACGAATGTCAGCAGCGAACAGTCGCGATTCCCCTGTATTGCTGTATACTCTTGTGCAAGTTGAAGCCTGGAGTTCTGTAAAACATAATTACACCTACAACATTCGCGTCAAACTTCACCGGAGTGCTTCGATAAAATGTAATCAATTTGCGCCAAAATTATTTATTTACAGAAACAACTTGCAACGCCGAAGCATTAAAGCAGGGAAACACAAAATAAACACATAATTCCAAACATAAATACAATGGCAAAAGACAATAAATACTGCTAAATAAAACACAAACTCTTGAATGTTAAAATTTAGGATACTGAAAAAAAATACTACGTCATCTGTGTTGAATGCTGACGTAAGCAATAAATTCCAAGCCGTTATTGTACGAGGGAAAAATTAGTACTTTTTTTATAATAAGTTCGGCAAAATATTTCTTTGATCTTATTAGAATGATCTATTCCGGTTGAACAATAGTTTGGTAACTCAAGATATTTATCAATAGACCCTTCCCGAAATTCAGTCTGGCCACTTTGATCACTATCATCATCTGTGGAACAGCATCAGTGCCATACCAATGGCGGCCTACTAGTCACTGATAAAGGAAGACGCTGAAGATGCTCCTAAGCGGATGATGCGAGGCCTGTACTTTCGGGGGGTCAGTATACGACACGACGTAGGAATGGAACACAAGAGCTACGTAAGCGTTTATTTCTAATAACTCAGATTCAGTCGATCTGTGGGAGGCACAGAATCAGCCTTGAAGCACTTCGGCGTATAGAATTTTCTCGAGGCATCCGAGTGGGTTCTAGCTTTGTTCTGATTGCTGGTTCTCGGTCACCATCGAACTGAAAGTGATCGAGAAAGAGCTCACACTGAACAATTCCCCGTGTGCCGTTGACTTGCGAAAGTGACAGTGCCGATACAAGTTTATTTCCGCCATTGATATGGCAAAACCTAAACTGCTTTACGAACCACCAGATGGCACTGAATTTCGGAAAGGGTCTATTCTAGTTCAGTTACTAAAAACGAAATAAAAACTTTAGACGGAATTTCTCTCTCCTTAAATCCATTAATTCCCAACCGATCTCACGTTTAATTTCTGTCACACTGGATGTTCTATTGTACATTCCCGATACAAACCTTGCAGCAAGGTTTGAATTTTTTTCTGTTTTAGTGGCCAAGTACTCTCGATGCGGGTCCCACAGGACACACGCATGTTCAAGCGTCGGTCTTACCAAGCAGCAGTAATTCAGTTTCTTTTAGCTCCTTAAGAGCACTGCGTAGATTTCGGTTAATAAAATTTTACATCCTACCAGACTTCTTCACAGATTGTGTTACGTGAGCATTAAAAGAAAGATCGCTTGATAAAATGATTCCAAGATACTTCACATCAATGTTTCTGTGTAAATGTCAATAATCAATAGAAGAACACGATAAGATGCAGTCGCGTTTTTTCCCGAAAGTGACGTGGACACACCTGTCAGCTTTGAGACTTAAATCCCACGTCCGACACCAACTGGATATTTGATCTAAATCAAATTGTAAGGGAGCAGAATGACGTAAACGTTCTACTCTGCGATATAAAACATAATCATCTGCTAACAGCCTCACCGGCAAGTTAATCCCTGCAGCTATGTCATTTCTAAAAACAAGGAATAAAAAAGGCCCCTGCGGAACGCCAGATGTCACAGCAACAAAGTGCTCAATATGAGGTTTCCTTTATTTCATTTCATTTATTACCCTCGAGGCGTAAAAGTTAGAAGGGGTGAGCTTGGGGAAACAAAGCTTAGCAGTGGAAATACATATCGTAAATGTTATAAACAGAAAATTCAAGTTATATCTAGGGCTCCGTGTTTTCGGATAAGTCCGAAAAACTCTGAAAAACACCCGCCGGTAAAATTTTTGGCAATTCGGATTTATCCGATAAACTCCGAATTGTTATATGCCCATGCCTAACCCCCCCCCCCCCCCCCCCAATAAAAAAAAATTATTTCTTTTTCTGTTCTTTTTTTTTACATTTTCGGCAGCGCAGGCTCAATGGTCCTGGGAAAATGACACCATAATTATCTTTCAAGCCTCGGACCGTTGTCAAAAGGGGGTCTTACGGCTTGTCTCGTCAAGGCATGGTTCAGGGAAACAGGTCATCGTACCATTCGTGTCACGACAAAAGCCACTTTTTTGGTTTCCAGTTTGGGCCATGGGATTTGGGATTTAGAGAAAGGGGATGGTATGTTTCTGGGGATAACAGTGAAAGCTATGGACCATAGAGATTGTATAAAATATGGAAGAGGGGCAGTTGAAACTTCTCTATTACATCTACCTCGCGCGGCAGCGCGATAGACTACGAGCTTCCTTGCGGCTATCCCCGGCAGTTTATTGATTTTAAGGTATCGACGTTTATCGAAGCCACACTTGTGTGCGACTTTTGTCGTGGGACAAATTAGTATTTCCAATGACACCAACGTCAAGTTCAACTGAAGAAATCTTAATTGATACAAGCGCGTTTTATTTTCTATCTGGCATACGTTTGCATCCGGTTATTATTTATTATGTTTAATAGGAAAGACTGCGAACTTAATCTCCGAATTTCGGAGAATTGGGGATATATGAAAAATAAACTCCGATATACGCCGAATTTACGCTAAAAAATAAACTCCGAAAAACACCCTCCGAATTTCACGAAAAATAAACTCCGAAAACACGGAGCCCTAGTTATATCCAATACCTTAGCAAAAAGAATACTTCCAACAACCAAACGTTCACTGGAAGGTGGTTCCAATCACGGAATGGGCACGACAGAAAAGATTGGTAAATAATATTAGTACGGTATAGTTCCAGTCGAGGAATCTGCTCCAATACTTTTATGGAGTATCTTGTACAAGTTCAACTGGAACTCTGCATGGTTTCACACATGGTAGTTTTCCCGATAAACACGTGGGTCCCAAAACTCGGCGACGACTGGAAATGGCCGATAGGTGGCCTCCCAGCCCGCACGCCCAGGGCAATTCTGAAACGGAAAGGCCTTACAATGATTTCATTATTTGGTCAAGCAGGCATTTGAAATCACACAAAAGTTGCAACTGCTTTGTTCATCGCAATTGAAAGCAAGCGAGCTGGCAAGCATACAAACCACCTAAAATCTTTTTTTTTTTTTCTTTTTTTGGAAAAAGGGGAGGGGGGGTGTTTTAGGTTTGGAAAGTCTGTCATCTGCCCTAGGGTTTGCAAGGTTCGGCAAATTATACATTTTTATTTTTTTGCAGGTCGGCGCCACATTTTAATGTTTATAACTTTTTACTCGCTATTTAGAGAAGATAATAATGTATAGCACACAGCGACTTTTTTTAGAAAGTTTGTGCTTTTAGAATTTTTAATAACTCGACTTCTCGGTCGGTTCGCAACATCTTTGGTGCTCGAAGTTCAAAGCAAGCGAAGGAAGACGGAGCTGCAGGACGAATGTAACGAAGGCACCCATTTTAGTGGAATGGTTTCAAACGTGGTGACTGAAGACATGCCAGCTGATTGCGCGGAGCCCGGGATAGCCGGGTGCACCCCTGGAGACGCTGAAGCAGACACAGCTGGGGAGTCTTCTACGCACACGGTACTGGAGGAGGACCCCATGAATGTCATCCCAGCCGGGATTCCAACAAATCCAAGTAAGGACAGTGTGCCCTTACTTGGCTGCCTGAGAAGAGTGCATTTTCAATGCCAGTTGTAAATCATGGGCGTGTCACGAGGTGGACGTGGAAGGCTTCCAGTCTCTACTGCGTTGAGATGAAGAACAGATTAGTAATTGAACGACCTTTTACCAGCAAGATCCTCATTCTGGAGCAGCGCTGAAAGTCTTTGAAGGTTTGCCAGTACTTCCTCGATTGTCAGACAAGCTCTGTGCTTCTTCACGTAGTGTCCATTGTAAACTGTGCATGACATCAACGAAATGTTACATGCGTTTGACCAAAGCCACTCTGCGATGGCGGTCCAGCGAACAAGATGCTTCCTGGTATTCGCGACTCCAGCGACCTATAGGGGGCGCCACCACCAAACAAACATGGCGGCTGGGTCCAGGTCGCGTCGGCTCGGCCGGGCCGCCTCAACGGGTGGCGCATTCAATTTAACAGATTTTCTTTTGTTCAATGCCCAATTCTATAGGAATTTGAACTAAAACGGTTAAGTGCAGCCGGTGCACATAAACTTGCAGAGCATAGTTCTGTTTTCCCGCTGTTTTTTGTTCTTTTCATGTCAAACTTTCTTTTCGGAGATTTCATTCAAAACCGAAACGATGGGCTCCGGAGAGACTGTAATATACTAATCAGTTTTGATCATCTAAGGAAAGCGACGGTGACCACAGAATTGTTCCACCGAGAGTAATTTTCAGCTAACTCGCATGCCTCGACCATGCGACTTATCTGTCCGCGAAATCGAGCTTTTGTGCGTATCCGCGTTTTCCAGTCGTCTGCTTGGTCAACAACACAGGATGCAAGAAAATTAGGAAAGTTAAGCAAGCGCTTCTTGAGCCAAGGAGCATGTTAACACGCTGGCGCCCCACTAAGCAGCTGACACTCGTATTTCAATTCAGGTTTTAGTGGCAATCAGGAAGTCATTTTGACGAGCAGCTTATGTATTATATTACGTACTATGGTCCCACTAAAGCGATATTAGTATATCCTTCGGGTTGAAATATGAGCTTAGTTGACTAGCTATTTGGTGAACTGCTGAATAAAAGTATATTTCACAGACAGGGAGATACTGCCGCGCGCCAAGTAGGCACCGCGGCCGTAGCACAACGGTTATCGCGCTTACCTCCCACGCGAAGGGCCAGGGTTCGATTCCTGGCCGCGGCTACGCATTTTTGTTTACACTGTAATGTGATGTCCTAGTGAATTCGAGAACCGTCTAGCTGATTCGAGGTTAGAATGTTCTCCGCGTCGAACCTTCTACATCGAACGCTCCAGAAGCCAACGCGTGTACAAAAGCGGCTCCGCCTGGCAAGCAGGATTCAGTCTCGCCCCAGCGTTCGACTCTGCTGCCACGCCGACTTCGACGCCCGCGACGCTCTATTATTATCTTTTGTACTCTTTTATTTTTGGCACAAGTTCGCCACATTAAACGTTTATTTCTTCCTGTTTATTTGTTATTTTTGGTCACTACCCGTGACATTTTGGTGGAGGTGCGGGGTACCGCATGCCCGTGCAGCGTTCCCCTCCAAGGGACCGCAGTGCAAGTCCGATTCCCGGCTCGGTGAGAAGACCACTCACCGCAGAACCTAAAATTCGGACCAGCCGCCGCACCAAGGGAGAGGATCCTGAGTACGGTTTGCTCCTGGACAAGCCCAAGCCGCAGAAGACGACGATGGCCAACCAGTCGCAAGCCCCCGCCGCTTCTCCCGTCGTCTACATGCCCGTCGCACCGCGGACGGCTGCCCCCTTCCACGGTGAACTCTACGAAGACGTTGAAGACTGGATTGACCAGTATGAACGCGTTGCCCGCCACAATGGCTGGACCGACGAGCAACGCCTGCACAACGTCTACTTCTCGCTTGAGGGAACCGCCAAGCACTGGTACGAGAACCATGAGTCCTCTTTGACGTCGTGGGACATCTTCAAGACCGACCTGAAGGCTACGTTCGTCAACCACCACCGCCGAGAGAGAGCCGAGGACCTACTGCGAACCAGGACCCAGGGCCCCAATGAAAGCGTCACGAGCTTTGTGGAAGACGTGCTCCGCCTGAGCTCCCGCGCCGATCCTCAGGCCACCGAGGGAAAGAAGCTGCGCATTTTGATGCGGGGCGTGAAGGACGACATCTTCGGAGGCCTCGTCCGCAACCCGCCGGCAACCGTCGACGACTTCGTCAGCGAGGCGACAAACATCGAGCGCGCCCTCCAAGCACGCGCTTCCCACTACCAGCGGCAGCCAAGCGTCACTGCAACCGCGCGCCTTAGCGGTGAAAACGTGCCTGGTACGGACATCCGCGAAATTATCCGGGAGGTTGTCCGGGAGGAACTGCGAAGGTTGCTGCCAACCACCAGCCGTCCGCCAACCATTTTCATCGCCGAGGCTGTCCGAGAAGAAGTGCATCGCGCGCTCCAACCAGAGGTTCCCGTCACCAGGGTGGCACCGGAGGAACCGACGTTGAGCTACGCCGCCATGGCCCGACGACCGCCGCAAGCTTCCCGCCAAGCCACGGCGCCACCCCGAAGAAACTCCCCAACGCCGCAGTACCCCCGACGGCAGGAAGATCAGGCGCACGTTCCTCGGCGCAGGTCGCCCCCAGAGCGACCTGCGCCGAGGAAGACAGACGTCTGGAGGACGGCCGACCGACGCCCGCTGTGTTACCACTGCGGGGAAGCTGACCATGTGTACCGCCGATGCCCATACCGACGACTCGGGCTGCGCGGATTCCACCCAAGCGACCCGCGCCCCCGGTATGGTGAACGCCCTCGGGAGATCGACGAGTACCTGCGACGACCCCAGTCCCCCGAGCCTGCGTCACGCCGAGAGTTCCGGTCGCCGTCACCGCGACGTCCAGCTTCGCCGATGCACCGACCCCGACGTGAAAGCCTGTCACCCCTCGCTCCTCGCCGGGGAAACTAGGCGCGGCAACCCCTGGAGGTGGAGTTGCCGAAGACGACCGACGCCAAGATCCTCCACGAACGCCAGAGGGCCCCCACTCAAACGCTACGAGAAATCGAAACGACGCCCCTGCAACGGTGTCCAATAACCTAAACGTCGTCATCGTCGGCCACGACGCATCAGCGCTCGTGGACACCGCAGCAGACTACTCAGTCTTGAGTGGGAGGCTTTCCCGCCGCCTTCGAAAAGTCACCACGCCGTGGGGTGGACCGCAAATACGAACCGCCGGAGGGCACCTCATCACACCAGTCGGGAGATGCACTGCTCGCGTCGAGATCCACGGTGAGACGTGCCCTGTTAAGTTCGTCGTTCTGCAAGACTGTTCAAGAGACGTTATCCTCGGAATGGACTTTCTCTGCGAGTATGGCGCCGTCATCGATCTCGGGGCAAACCAGCTGACGCTGCGAAAGCCTGTTTTACCGTCGGTGGAGACCAACACGACGTCAACCGCGATCCGAGTTATCGCCGACCATATGAACTTACCGCCGCGGTCGAGTGTTTTCGTCCCCGTCATAACCGACGCAGCCATGCACGGTGAAGCTCTTCTGGAAGGCAACGTCCAACTGCTCCTTGAGAAAGGAATTGGCGTCGCACGAGGCGTAACGGATCTCCAAGAAGGACGTACAACTGTTCTTGTAACGAACTTCCGAGAGGAGCCGCAGCACCTAACGAAGGGTACCACTGTGGGCCACATTGAGGAGCTTCAGGCGCCAGTCGTGGTCACCGCAATCGCCGTAGAAACCTCGTCGTCACAGCAGAACAGCACGCCGCCGCCGCTCGACATCGACCCCGAGCTCCCAGCTACGAAGCGCCGGCAACTGGTTGATCTCCTTGCCGAATACAGCGACTGTTTTGCCACGACATCGAAGATTCGCCAAACAACAATGGCGAAACATCGCATTGTTACCGACGACGACGCACTTCCTGTCCACCAGTCGCCGTATCGAGTCTCCTTAAAGGAAAGGAAAGTGATTCAAGATCAAGTCCAGGAGATGCTCGACGACGACATCATTCAACCCTCAAGAAGCCCATGGGCGTCCCCAGTCGTCCTTGTAAAGAAGAAGGACGGAACCCTGCGGTTCTGCATGGACTATCGTCGACTGAACGCTGTGACGAAGAAGGACGTCTATCCGCTCCCCCGCATCGACGATACGTTAGACCGACTGCGCCACTCCCGATATTTTTCGTCGATGGATCGGAAGAGTGGCTACTAGCAGATTGAAGTCGACGAACGCGACCGGGAGAAAACTGCCTTCGTCACTCCCGACGGACTGTACGAATTCCAAGTGATGCCGTTCGGGCTTTGTACTGCGCCAGCCACCTTCCAGCGTGTCATGGACACCGTGCTGGCAGGTCTGGAAAGGCAGAGCTGCCTCGTCTACCTCGACGACGTCGTCGTATTTTCACGAGATTTCGACGAGCACCTGAAACGACTTCGAGCCGTGCTTCAAGCCATCAAGACCGCCGGCCTGTCACTCAAGCCAACAAAGTGTCGATTCGCCTATGGTGAACTTAAGTTCCTTGGCCACGTCGTGAGCAACAAAGGTGTTCTCCCTGACCCTGAGAAGACCCGCGCCGTGGCTGCATTTACGCCGCCGTCTGACAAGAAGGCCGTGAGAAGATTCCTCGGACTTTGTGCCTACTACAGACGATTTGTTCGGGACTTCGCCAAGCTGTCCGCACCGCTGACGCACCTCACGAAGGACGCCGTAAAGTTCGAATGGACAGACGAACACCAGCAGTCATTCGATGAGCTGAAACGAAGACTCCAGACGCCCCCGATTCTTGGCCATTTCGACCAGTTCGCTGATACAGAGATCCACACGGACGCCAGTAACACCGGACTTGGCGCAGTGCTAGTTCAAAGGCAGGACGGGGCAGAGCGAGTCATCGCATACGCGAGTCGGACGCTGTCTAAGGCGGAGAGGAACTACTCTACAACTGAAAAGGAGTGCCTTGCTGTCGTCTGGGCAATAAGAAAGTTTCGCCCATATCTGTATGGAAGTCCTTTTTGCGTGGTCACGGACCACCACTCGCTCTGCTGGCTCGCGAATCTAAAAGACCCCTCCGGACGCCTCGCCCGGTGGAGCCTACGACTGCAGGAGTTCGACATGACCGTTGTGTACAAGTCCGGCCGGAAGCATCATGACGCCGACTGCCTGTCAAGAGCTCCTGTCGAGGCCGGTCCTGCCTGTATCGAAGACGACGACGATGAGTATTTCCTCGGCGTTTTGGGCGTCAGCGACATGGCAGCACTCCAACGAGACGACCCTGAACTGCGAGCGCTCATTGATCACTTAGAGGGACAAGCGAGTTCGGTTCCCCGTGCTTTCTTAAGAATCCTGCATACATTTTCCATGCGGCGAGGGGTGCTGTACAAGGAGAACTTCGTCAACAACAACACAGCATGGCTGTTGGTTGTTCCTGCCAGCCTTCGAGACGAAATATTCCAAGGATGCCATGACGACCCAACGGCTGGACACCTTGGCTACAGCAGGACGCTCGCCAGGATTCGAGAAAAGTACTACTGGCCGAGGCTATCGAAGACCGTTCACCTATACATTCGATCATGCCACGAGTGTCAGCGACGCAAGAAACCGCCAACGAAGCCGTCAGGACTTCTGCATCCGATTTCTCCCCCGTCTATGCCGTTCCAGCAGATCGGAATGGATTTACTTGGCCCTTTCCCATCGTCAACGTCGAGAAACCGCTGGATTATCGTCGCCACCGATTATCTCACACGGTACGCCGAGACGAAAGCCCTTCCAGCAGGCACGGCTGTTGAAGTCGCCAAGTTTTTCATTGAGTCCATTGTCCTCCGGCACGGTGCCCCTGAAGTCCTCATCACAGACCGTGGATCTTCGTTCATGGCCCAGCTGACTCAAGAGATCCTTCGTCTCAGTGGCACCGGCCATCGTCGAACCACTGCATACCACCAATAGACCAACGGACTGACCGAGCGACTCAACAAGACAATCGCCGATATGATCTCTATATACGTCGACGTAGAACACAAGACGTGGAACGAGGTGTTGCCCTACGTCACGTTCGCCTACAATACGGCGGTTCAGGAGACCACTGGATTCACCCATTGCCAGCTGGTACATGGTCGGAAGGTCACGACCATGCTGGACGCAATGCTGCCCCATGAGCCATCTGTAAATGAGAGCGACGACGCCCAGGCGGTTGCTCAACGCGCCGAAGAAGCCCGCCAGCTCGCCCGACTCATGATTCAAGACCAGCAACGCGTCGACGCGGGCCGCTACAACCTTCGTCGCAGGGACGTTCACTTCCAGCCCGGAGATAGGGTGTGGGTGTGGACGCCCATCCGTCGCCGCGGCCTCAGTGAGAAACTGCTGAAACGGTACTTTGGACCATACAAGGTACTTCGTCGCCTCGGCGAGCTGAACTACGAGGTGATGCCTGGCGGAACAAGAACATCATCACGCCGCCCACCACGACCTGAAGTCGTCCACGTCGTGCGCCTGAAGCCTTACTACGCTCGATAGGACTGTGGATCTTATGTGTTTCAAATGACTCTTTAGTTTGCCGTTATCTTTATGTGCTTTGTTTTGTGTTGCATCGAGGCGATGCACTTTTTAAGGGGGGGAGTAATGCCGCGCGCCAAGTAGGCACCGCGGCCGTAGCACAACGGTTATCGCGCTTACCTCCCACGCGAAGGGCCAGGGTTCGATTCCTGGCCGCGGCTACGCATTTTTGTTTACACTGTAATGTGATGTTCTAGTGAATTCGAGAACCGTCTAGCTGATTCGAGGTTAGAATGTTCTCCGCGTCGAACCTTCTACATCGAACGCTCCAGAAGCCAACGCGTGTAGAAAAGCGGCTCCGCTTGGCAAGCAGGATTCAGTCTCGCCCCAGCGTTCGACTCTGCTGCCACGCCGACTTCGACGCCCGCGACGCTCTATTATTATCTTTTGTACTCTTTTATTTTTGGCACAAGTTCGCCACATTAAACGTTTATTTCTTCCTGTTTATTTGTTATTTGGCATTCATTCGATCATGCCACGAGTGTCAGCGACGCAAGAAACAGCGATGCCACAGTGTCAGCGACGCAAGACGCACATTAAACGTTTATTTCTTCCTGTTTATTTGTTATTTTTGGTCACTACCCGTGACAATACTACTTAAACTTATCCAAATGGTTCTAGCCGGTAGCACGGAGACGAATGCGGACAAACTGAAGAGTCTTCATCAGAGATTCACGCAGAACCTCTCACTGAACCTGACTTCGAATCCTGAACAGAGAAAATTAGTATTTTTTGTGGCCGGTCAACCTGAGCAAAGTAGAACTATATTGCTGCTGACTTCGACGGGGGTATAATATAAATATTGCAGGCGCAATAGATCATAATGCCGTGACAGCTTTTAACTTTGCGAGACGCGTCCCCCGCCTTTTGAAAGCAGATAATTTCCCTCGTTAATCATATGCAGCGAGCAGGATTTCCTGAATCAATTAATTGCGAAATCAGCCCAGCTCCTTCAGTGTGGTCCAGAAGGTTTTTCCGCGAAAAGCAGCCAAGATGAATAGCCAACGCACCGACCGGCGTAGGTGGCTCAAACTTGAAGCTAATTGAACACAACCAAACTCAAGAAAAGCAGCTATCGAACATTCCCATTCACTTGACTGCAACATTCGTATTGTAGGAGAAGCGCTAAGTAGATTCACTCACCCTCAAACTCACACTCACACTCACACCAGAAAAACGGTCATTCACAGCGCGACGTGAATGGCCGTTTTTCTGGTGTGAGTGTGAGTGTGAGTTTCAGGGTGAGTGAATCTACTTGCGCTTCTCCTAGAATATGAATACCCATCTCGCCCAATATCCATTCTAAGATGCAACATTCGTGTTCGCTTCAGTGAAACACCTCGTCTGTCGTCCTCAGTCCACTGTTTTACATCCTTATAAAGAAACCCCTTATCAGTTACCAAGTAGTCGTCACTTTGAATGTGATTCGAGACAGACAAGAAATCAAAACGTTTTTCCGTGATTGCTCCCCATCCAAGAAATCGAAAGCACGCGACCGTGTGTAGTGTGGAGTAAACGGGCTTTCAAACACGTTATGGAAGGAAACAATCTACTGAGGCTTCACCACACTAATGAACGCTCAGGCAAACTAAAGAAATTTTCGGACCTTCGTCAAATTACATTGTTCGCCACCGCGCCGACAACACGTACCCGCGAAAGCCAGCAGAGACGCGGAGGGGCGCGGAGCAACATGGTCCGGCTGGTTCCCGGTTCTCCCGGTTGGTGGCGTCCGTTTCGCTGGAGTCGCGAATACAACCGGAGTGTGCATCCATTCACGAAATCAGAATGTGGAAACACAACCGACGTCAACTACTTCTGAATGGAACAGGGCTGCGGTGCACCCACTGTGCAAGCCTCAGTAACACCCTCCGTATTCACAAGGCACGCTGGACAAAAGAGGGAAAGAACAGAGTGAGGATGCCCTTGTCTTCTTAAAAAAAGCGGAAGATTGATGTCTTGAGAAGGCAATGCATCGCATGTTCCAAGTCTAAAGTCAGGTTGCTGAAGAAAAAAAGAAAGCTTCAATCTGAATTATCTATGTGCAAAAAATATCTGAAACAGCTGAGCAGCGAGAAGCTGAATGACGTTTTGAAGAAGTCGGCCCTGCCTGAACCTCAACAAATGCTACTGCGCGAGTGCATATCAGTGGATAAATGCACTTGAAGTAAAGAAAGCTGGTACAGAGACCGATTGACTACTTCTGTACCTACTCCTGCACATTCGCAGCGCGGCCGGGTGCAGGCTGCTCAATGAGAATGATGTGCTGCCCCTGCCGTGTGTGAAAACCATTCGCCACTACATTGCCATTGTCGGGATCAAGAGCGGATTCGATGTGAACTTCGTCGCAGTACTCAAAAGGAAGCTTCAAGGTAAATCCGAATTCCAAAGACATGGTACGCTGCTGCTTGATGAAATCCAGGTCAGGAAAAAAAAACCGTTAACACCCACCAGCAAAGCTCCGAGGTAGCCAGTCACGGCCTAGTATTTATGTTATGCCTCTTTGGTGAAAGCTCCGCGCAACCTGTTGCTGTAGCTTTCACCTGCAACCAAGGGGACAGTACTGTGTCAACTACTGCTTCATGCGATCACCATTTTGGAAGGCGCCGGTGCTCTTATTGACGGCATAGTAGTTTGCGATAGAGCGAGCCCTAACCGGACAATGTGGACACAGCTGGAAGTCAATAAGGAGATAAACAATCGAAAAATTTTTATGCGTCCAATGGACGATAGGAAAGTGTTCACATTTTCAGACGTCCCATACCTTTTTAAATGCATCAGGAATCGGCTCCTCAGGAAGCGCCTCCTCAAAGTAACGGTCAGTGGGTCAACTGGTCAGGCAATGCTGCAGTATACAAGGAAGGCTACAAAAATGCCGGTGACCTGAAAGTGTGCCCCAAGATAACACAACAACACATTTAACCCCTCAAACATAGACCTTATAAGTGTAAAGCTTGCAAACCAAGTCTTCAGAAGGGTGATGAAGTCGGGAATGGAGTACTACAGTGACCAAAAAGTCTCAAGTTTGTGGTACTTCAATGGTACAATGGCGTTTACACTTCGGTGTAAGGATCTGTTTGACGCTATGAACAGGCAACACCCAAATGCTGGCATTTGGAAGGGAGGAAAGGACCCGATTGTCATCAAGGACGTCATCATCATCATAAAGCCTTTATTTGTGCCAACAAACAACCAATAAGGGTCTGCAATGTGGCACAGTGAAACAGTTCTACAGCTGTAGAACTTGCTCAGTAGTACTTACTTAAAAATGCAAACAACAATAAAACTGGCATTCAAAAAAACACAATAGTGCACTGCTAACGACAGAAAATAATCTCATCTAATTGTCTATTGAGATTTACGTAGTTATCAAAAGTATCAAAATTTTCATGCCTAAGATTGTTTACACATATCTGCATTCTTGTTGTTGGTGATATCATGTGTTGATTGTGGGGATAAAAAGTCAAAGCTCTGCTATTTGAGCGAGCCGGCACGTTTAAATTCACTGTGCGCAAAAGTGTTGAGTCAATGTCCCCGTGAACTATTTTATGTAAAAAGGCAACATCACGCAATAATCTTCTGAGGAATAGACACTGTAGGCAAAATTTATCACGTAAGGAGTTCATAGCTGTAAAAATGCTAACGGCCAAGGTATATGTCATAGGTTATACGCACTAGGCGTCTTTGAACTGACTCTAATTTGGCTGCATCGTGTGCAGTGAGCGAATTCTACACTACCGAGCCAAATTCTAGCCTAGATCTGATAACAGAACAGAATAAACGTAGGAAACAAGCATTGTTCACAAACTTTCTAGTTAATCGCGTAATGCTTTCAGTAATCTAAATTTAGAACAGACAATGTAGGTGACATGGCAGCCAAACGAAAGAGTACTGCACTGTCAAAGGAAACTCCAAGATCACGAAGCGATGAAACTCTTAAAATACATTTGTCATCAAGTGAGTATGAACACTGCACAATTTCACGTTTGTTACTGAAAGACAAGACCTGAGTTTTCTCTGGATTAATGATTAGGGAATTTTCCCGACACCAGTTTAAAATATGCGATGCGTCCCTCTGAAGAAGGTCAAAGTCGTCCATCAAACTAATACTCAAAAAGAGCTTGATATCATCCACGAATAACAACACGTTTAAGTTTACTACGCAAGTAGATATGCAACTGATAAAAATCAAACAAAAATGGACCAAAATTGATACCTTGTGGTACTCACGATAACGGACAAACCGGATCAGTGAAGTTATTTAAAGTGCGTAGAACACAGCGACGGTCGGTCAGTTAGCTTTCAAGCCATTTTAAAAGCACAGAAGGAGCCTCATTTCGTGACAATTTGTGCAATAGGAAAGTGTGGTTCACCTTATTCGAAGACCTTCGAGATGTCAAAATAAACGTGAACTTGATCGCAATTGTGAACAAAAGGTACTGAATAATCCAGAAAGGTACAAAGATTTGTCTCGACCGAGCGTTCATCGATAAAACCATGCTGATGAGAACTGATACGTTGCTCAAGATAAAAAGACAAACGGATGTGCATCATTATCTCAAATACCTTTGCAATAGAACATAGCAAGGATATGGGGCGATAGTTCCCAACTTGCGAAGTATCCCCCGCCTTATTTATAGGAACAACGATATAGACTCTTTGCACATAGGTGAAAATATACCCTTAGACAACGAAATATCAAATGTATGCTTCACGATAGGCGCAAAAAGATTTAAACAACCCTTGGTAATAAAATTAATCACATAATCTGTACCAGATGTCAGTTTCGGCATTAGTTTCTTTACAGCCGCCATAATTTCACAAACCATGACTTTGCTTACAGCACAAACATCAGAGCAGACAAGATCACCAAGAAATGCCCTATCTTTAGGCGCATCCGAGGAAAAACAACCACTGAATAGACTTGCAGAAAAGTTTGCGATATCCTTAGGGTTAGACAGACAATCAGAATCACTTCTGAAACAGATACCTTGCGCACTGTCTCAAATATGTTGTCTCGCAAATTTCCAAAACTTATCTGGTGTGTGCAAAAGATATATTTTCTACTACGTTTAAATGCGCACACTCGTCATGAATAAATAACTTTTTAACAAGAGACTGATAAATGATGAACTTAGCATACCACATTCCCGATCACTTTCTTTTGTACAATTTGTGACAACGTGCTTTTTTTTTCTTCTTTATATAGCACATTAGATCTTTGGAGTAACACAAAGGGTACTTTTTTTATTTTTTGATGATCAATTGGAATAAATTTTTCAATTACAATTCTCACTACCGTGGTAAACGACCTCATCACTAAGTCGACAGAAACGTCCATTCAAATGGAGGAACAGTCGTAATCTTGAAAAAAAACTATAAAGACCAAATATTCGCCTGTGCTGGAAGAATAATACGTATGCTTTGGTCGAGCTGCAGATTTCAACGTATCATGGAAAGCACCAATAAAGGGTGGGCGATAAACATCAACCTTAAAAAGTGAAACATCTGCAAGCGTTAGGTCGATTATCGGAACATTTCCAATGAAAAGATCAAGGATGTTTCCAAAGCTGTTATAAAACTTGATTTACTAAAACCATTGAAATGATAAAATTCAATAGGAGAGACGATTTCCTTGCTTTTAAAGTATTTCGACCATTAAGAAATCAGGACTGCCATTCAACACCAGGTAGGTTAAAATCACCATAAATAAGCACCCTGAACTTCGAAAAGTCAATCTCTTTTTTCAGTGTATCAGGGATCATTAAATATATGATTATCCAATAGAAGAGAGAAATAATAATTCCCAATCAGGTAGTTGCAACCATCATTCAAAAGCAATCCTATTCAAACGCATGCTGAATAGGTTTCAAGGTCACGTCTTCGATGGAAGGTAACTGACTGATTGACGGCGATTGATACGCCGCATCCAAATTTCTGGCAAGTCAAGCATACTCACGGTCACAACGGTGAACGCCATAGGAAGAAAAATAGTCTGCACTTGAAATTATCAGTCAAATGATAGTATCAAAATTGCAAGAGACTACATATGGCGAAAATGTGTCCTCTCCATGGAATTGTTTGATGAAAGGGAGCGCGAGGCATAGGGGCGTCCGTCGACTACGGGGGGGGGGGGGGGGGGGAATGGGGGCTTGTGCCCCCCCCCCCCCCGGTTCATGATCCTTACCGAGCATACCGAGACGCTGTTCACGTGCCATGCAACGAGCTTCTAGTAGTGGCTTGTAAACAAAATAACGCCCACGTTGCCTTTGACAATATACATGGGAAATGGAATCCCAGCGTGCTTTCGTTAGCTTCAATCTCCAGTTCTGGCGAGAAGGTAACGCGGCATCGATTACTATTACGTCCGCTTGGTCTGCTTCCTTAGCAGCCTGCCATCTTGCGATTTCCCACCAGAAAAAAAAATAATAAACGAAGCAACCGGAAGTCCATATAGAGGGCGCCTACTCTATCCGGAGCTGTTCAAAAAGTCCGTTTGGTAGCGACTCCGACGGCGTCGCTACTAAAAATTTCAGATTTGTGCTCGCCGGCGCGTGCACCGTGGTACCGGCGATGAACACACAGCTACGCTCGCACGGTGAAAGACATTGACACACAGCGACGGACACCATGGCGATATAGATATGCTGTAAAATGTACCCCCTAGAATAAACTACTGATAATTGCCGGTGTAAAAAAAAACTGCGCAGGAAGGCCCCCCTGCCCCCCTCCCCCCTGAAGACATCTCAGCCTGACCCCCCCCCCGGGGAAAATGGAAAGTGTCTAGGGAGATCTCTAAGAACACGTTTCTGACGTAAACGACAGCGGAAGGCCTCAGAGTGACAATGAGGTCAACATGTGATCTAACTGGACACCTTCTGAACAACTGTGGCTATTACTACGTTCTCACCGCCGAATTCAATCAAGATCCTTGGAGAGGTTTCTCGGGAAAATCCGGCAAGCAGCGCGTAAAAATGATCATCCCGGCATGCCTACTATCCTTCTTCCGTTGTATAGAACGTTAATGGTCTGCAGCCTCCTCAAGCCGCCAAAGTTTGGGAATTGTCAAGCACTGACCAGAGAGGAACCACAGCTAAACTTCTCCATTTTCAAAAGTACAATCAAGAACCAAGAAGGAAGGGATCGTGCGTCTAGCCAGGAACAGCTAAAGGAAAACGTCGACATACTGATCACAAACAAAGCGTGAGAGTGTGACAAGATTGTGGCTAGTGATGAGTCTACCTGAAATGGTTGAATTGCACTGTGAACTTTCCTTTGCAGAAAACTAGGCAAAGTGCTTTTCCGCGCATTTTTTTTTTTTTTTTACACCGGCAATTATCAGTAGCTTATTTTAGGGGGTCCGTCGCTCTGTGTCAATGTCAATCACGGTTCATCGCCGGTACCACGGCGCATGCGCCGGTGAGTACAAATCTGAAAAACAAAATGCTTGTGCAGCTGCGAAGTTGGGGGGTAGAACCCACACTACCCTGTGCTTCTGAAGCAGTTATAATCCACTCGGCTACGAGTCTTTTTTCTTTAATACATAGAAATAAAGCCTGCGGCTGCAGAATATCAGGTCGAACGCTCATTAACAAGACAACGCAAAAAGCAGTTTTCAAACGAACAGAGGCTCAAGCAAGCAAACACTTTGGTCAAGCTGGTATGTACAGTCAGGGAGTTTTACAGATGCGGCAATTTACACAGGTTATCCTGCAGCATGAAATGTGATTTCTCTGACAGGTGTTTGTTGTATAAAGTCGTTCGCCACAAGATCTAAGTCCACTTGGAGAGCAAGCTCGTTACAAGGCACGTAAACAGCGTCTCGGTAAGGATGCATGACCCGGGGGAGGGGGGGGGGGGGCTTTGCCTCTCTTGGATCACACCAGGGAGGGCACGAACCCCGATGCCCCCCTGGCTGAACCCTTTGAATGGGACGAAGACTTGCGCCCCCTAGCCAGGGCGCCGCCATCGCCCTCAGTGGGGTGCGCTCTTGGGCGCGGCCCTAATCCGATTACGACGCCTTAGCAAGGCTTCGTAATCGGATTATGACTCGTCCAAGCACACTCCAGCCAAGCAAGGTGGCAGCGCCCTGGATCCGGACTGCGTATGCTCCGCCTGTGGAACAGGGTATCGCAATGGTGCTCCCGGGACAGCCATGTTGGATCCAAGGCCGCACTGCGAGAAGCGACCGTCGCTTCTTCAGGAGCTCCAGAGGCGCGGATGGCGTGGCTGTGAGGCGGCGTGTTGCGGCGTGTGCAGCAGGGAAGATATAGTGCGGCGACACACCGCGTGTGCACCATCGTCTCGTCATTTGTCTCCTGTTTTTCGCAATGCCATAGGTAGAACATAATAGCCAACGAAAACGTCATCCCTTTGAAAGCAGCACATGTGCGTTGTCTGGTCCGAGGTGCCGGTTGTGCAAGTCGCATATCTCTCCGCGAGCGCCGCAGACACGAGCAACGCGATCGTCCTCCGTGTAATCTGCTTCCCAGACTTTGGAAACACGCCTTAAAACATTGCTCGTGTTATTAAACAATGCAATCAGGGGCGTACCAACTTGTTTTTGAGGGGGGGGGGGCGAACCAGACCTCCCCCCCCCCCCGGGTCGCATACTTTTACTAGAGATGAGCAGAGCTTTTGCCGAATCGAAAATTCGGCGCAACTTTTGTCGAACCTTTCTTAAGATTCGGCAATGATTCGGTGAAAACTGCACTGTTACCAGACTTAACATTGATATTTGGTTTTTTCTGACGAAAAAAGGTTTATGTTTTTTTCTTAACTTATATAGATGTAGTGCCTATTGACACAGTTATGACTAAATAAGGTAATACCCTAATGAAAAATACACCAGGCAATCCTGGTGTGACATCAGAGAATCCTGGTGGAACACCAGAATATCTGGTGTGCCCACCAGCAATGAACACACCAGCCTGGTCTGCCCACCAGCAATGTTGTTGTATCGGGCACACTAGCCTGGTGTGCCCTCCAGAAATGCTGGTGTACCCGCACACCAGCCTAGCGGGCACACCAGGAGAGTCTGGTGTCACACCACACGGGCTCATGGGCCCACCAGGCAGCTTGGTGTGCACACCACGCAGTTTGATGTGACGCCAGAGTCCTTTGGTGTACCTAGAGTGCCTTCATGTGCGCTTCGCATAGAGTGATGCCAACTGCCTGTTTCCCTTTCTCACACCCTCTTCTACCGCCATTTTGTTCCTCTCATTGTTTCCCCATGCACCGGAAAGTGGCCTTTGTGTCCATCGGTAATCCCATTCAAGAGGGAAAAGGCTAATCCTCCCTCCGTGGGTTCCACAACGCTGCTCCGAACTTCTGAGATAAGGTGCTTGTTTCCGGGAGGGTTATTAGCCCCACGGATTACCGCCGAGGAACAAAATGGCTGCTGGTTTGTCGGCGAGTGGTATTA